GCTGGCACAATCCCGAAAATTCTGACAACAGACTACCCCACTTATTTACTTAATAACCTCATAATTCCTTCCATCTATGCCCAGGTTTCCCAAGTTGTCTCTCACTTCAGGTTATCTGATCAATTTACGTGTGCAATGTCAGTCCGTGGTCCATGACACGTGACCCGAGATTCTCCTTTCAGTTGATATAATCGATTTAAGAGTATTAAGAACAAAACACCAATTAAAAAGCTCCTAATCTCAACACTCCAGATGCCAAGTTGCATTCTCATACAAAACAGAATTCAGAAAAATAATTCAGTAACAATATTATGAGCTCACAACAAAGACGGTAATTACTTGGTAATTAAAAAAAGACAAACCACAAACCATTTAACAAGATACAATTAATTACTGTCTACACGGCACTTCGTTTTTGAGAGGTATTCCCCACCAACATTCTGAAGGTATTTCGTGCTTCTTACATCCCAGCTGCGTGAACTTACTTTGGACACCTGGGAGCATTCACTCGCAGGCAAGCTTGAAAATATGTATTTGGAACGGATGATGGCAACGTGTGACGTCATGCCCCTCGCGCATGGCAAGTAGAGGCTCTCCTGGGTTGTACTCAACTGTTGGGGTAGGTTAAAGTGCCGGATTGCCACCGCACGATTCTGCGCAGTTGTGTCCACGTGAAGACACCAAAAGCAACGACACTACATAAATTTCAATAAACGTTCAGGAAATATCAGAAAAACGTTTGAGAAGAATATTTCAATTACAAATAATCTTTGTACAATGAACATATTACTAGCCACGGTGGTCTAGCGGTTAGAACGCTGGCCTTGTAATCCTGGGGGGGAGTCCGAGAAAAGGATGGAAGGATCCTGTTCATATGGACCTGTCGTCAGACAGAACACTAAATAATAATAATAAATGAACATATTCATAATATGTACTTTTTTTTTTAGAATTCAACTGAGTGATAACACAAGATGGGTGTGTGAGACACGCATGCGGGAAATGAGAATTGCGTGCAAAATTTATCTACGGAAACTGTCCTCGCCGTCAATTATAACAGCCGTCACCAAACTGAATGGTTTAGGGTCACAGAAAAATCGCGCAACGTTCTACCACGAACAACATAGCCCAGGCGAGAGAAGACAACTCTGAACTCTAAATGTAGCAAAGCAGGAGCGGTGCGGTAAGGGGAGTAGAGTTCTTCCCGTGGCCTTGGAGCTGGCAATTTGACGATGGCTACTATAAGCACACGCCATGAAGACTTGCGAGAATGGAGACGTATTCCTGCACTCTTAACCTCGGCAGTACATAGAGGGGATTTGGTCAGCTTGATGCTCCGGCTACTAACCCCCAGGTAAAGAGCCCAGTACCTACCAAAGGGTTACACATTGATGTAGAATTGTAATTCAACAAAGTATATTACACCAGAGAGGGGACGGGAGACGCGGGTGTGGTAAGATTCGATGTGTGGACCCTGGACCGAAGTATTTCTTGTGAGAAGGCACTCGTAGGGATAGTACCAGCTCATCCTGTTCCCACACTGCTACCAGGTAAACCGGTTTGATGCAAAGCGAGGTTCGATTTAGGTACTTCGTGTTGAATATCCAGAACACCACGGCGAGGCCAATGCGAACAGAAACTGATCAAGACTCAAGGAGCTGTTCGCTTTTCCAGTCTGCGGTCCGTAATTTTCGCGTCATTTTCAAAGAATTTTTCACTTGGTGCAAAAGGAAATTGACGTGAAAGTATCGGTTTCCAATTGGATAAGACTGGAGTGCACAATACAGATTTAAATATCATTATTCTGTCTTAGCGTGGCTTTCCCAGAAGCTATATGTCCCACCGATCTTATTCGACTTGATACATCATTACGACGTAGTAATTAAGACACCTCGCTAAGATATAAACGCGATAAAGATGCATTATATTTACTATCAAAGTCAAACTGACATACAGAATGTCCCAGAAAGATGTACGCACACATTCAATTAATGAAATAACGGAGAAGACTTACTGTCTTCTGGGTTGTAGCGCCGTGTAATCTGGTAGAAGTCTACCGACGTTTCGGAGGTCCTTGCTGTCTCCATCAGCAGGGCGACCTGATGATCACTTCTAATTTCACGTGGATTTCTTGTTGCATCCATAATTTCGTTATCCTTCCAAACTCCCGCGCTTCAAAAGGCTTCCATCAGGTATGCCAACTTACCGCAGACAAACGCATATATTTCGAAGTCAAAACACGAACCACAAATTAATGCTCCATATATACAAATGAGATCGCGATTATCAGACTTACAGGTGGAATAATCGGAAAATATATATAAAATGTAAAAGTCCCTACCGCAAAGAAAACACCACACGTCTCCATTACGTCAACGTGTTAATGCTCTTTTTAAGAAATAATCCTTGATCTTTGTTTACACCGAGAAATATATGACAACCGATAAATATAAAATGTAGTTACTGATTTTTTTAAACCAAGTGGTACATATAGTTACCATAAGACTAGAAGGTTTATACGATACATCACAGGACGAGTAATTTTCTCCTAGCTACAGAATGAATCTGAAGGCTAATGTTCTGCTTATCTTATCCCACGTCATTAGCTCATAAAGCCAGGTTGGAGACGGTGAGATGAATGCAGTTCCTTTCTATCCCGTTCCTTGCGGCCACATTCAGGAAAGTCGACCACACGTCTGCAATAGCTCCATGATTCTAGCGTCTTCACCAATCCCAGTAACCACAAAAACATCCGAACGTCGTACGTATGACTAAAACGTATACAAAAACAAAACAGGACAAAGCCTTCGAAAGCACGTGAAGAGAGAAACCCGGTTCGTGAGCCGAATTTCGCAACTTATAGGCCTTGAAGATGGAAACAGTATGTTTCTTCCAAACTCCTACCAGAATACAGTCATCTCCATAAAAAAAATTGTCGCGTAACATTTTATATTAAAATTTGTAACCATGTAATAAGAATTCCGACTTAGCACGTAGCGTCACTCACAGATTCGTATTTACGAGGCTCGTCCTTAAAGTAAGTTTCCCTGGGGCCGTTTACAGAAACAAAACACAATTTCATGGAAATATTTATTGCAACAGATACAGCAAGTGTCCAGCTATTTTTCAACATATTCGCCACCGGAATTGAGACATTTGTCATACCGTGGGACCAACTTTGGAATCCCTGTGATTAAACACCTCCCAGCTGAACTCCTGCAGGAGACTCGCTGTCCGTTGAGCCGTGTGCGGCCTAGCGTTATCACTGACCGCACTTCACAGTCGGCGGGAGCTGGAATAAGAACCTCCATCTTCAACAGCTGCAACGATGCTACTGTGAGAACGCGGGAGGTGCCGTTAGTGCATGCGCCATGCTACGTCATTGCTCTATCACGTACGCACAGTCGCTTCGCGCAATATAAGGTTTGCTAGCTGTGGGACGAGTGGGAAACTTACTTTGAGGACGCGCCTCGTAGTTACGATTAAATACGTCGAGAGCCTCAGTCTACACAGGATAATACATAAACAATAATTATAGTCCCAAAGAGACATGACACCTGGCAAGGGGAGTGACAAATACGTCATTAAGGAGCCACGCTGTAATATCACAGAGACAGCAGGAGTCACGACGTCACGTTCATAACAAGGTGATAATAGTAATCTTCATGCTCGCTTGATAACAAATTGTACAGAACGAACACTGCAGTTATTCGTGTTAGCTTCTGATAGCGGAATATCTTTTTTCCAAGGACTGAAACACAACTCTAGGGCCCTGGTGATAGTAGCGTATATTTAATATTATCTGTTTTTTTTTCTAAATAGCTGTGAAAAGTGCTTTCTCACAAAATGAAATGTTTAAAAACAGGTACTAAGCAGAAACGTTCTTATCTTAAAAAAAAGGAAAAATAACAGTACAGCTAACACGGCATAAGAAACCTCGTGACTTTTACAGTACCTTCACGAAAATGAATAAATTAACGAAAATGTGATGGGTAGAAAATATTAACACGTTCGAAAAACAACATAAATTCATATAAAGTTTCGATCGGACAACCTGAAGGCAAGAGATCACGTGGAAAATCGAGGCAGAGATGGGAATCTGATGACAAGAAAGATACGTGGATGGACTCACGTGGTTCTAGACAGCGACAATCTGCGGGCTGTTGTGAACAAGGTTATGAACCATCAACAAATCTCCGTGGTTCTTTATCTTTGATGTTACTTTAAAACAGATATCACGACTGTCTTAAAATTCAATACTTCAATACATACGCAGTTTAAAATGTTAAATAAACACAGAATAGATTAATGTGCAGTTTCGCCTAAACTAATTAGTAAATCCTGTCACGCTTTGACCTCGGAATGAGGATTTGGTGTCAGAAATAGAAATATCCTTGGGAACTAACAGAACAGTGCATCTGCAGCCAAATATTTAAGAGTCTATGTGGGAATGCGTCTTCTCCAGGATTCAAAAGTTTGGCAAGCGAGTCACATAGTTTGCCGAATTGCTAATGGGGGGGGGGCCG